TTTTTTTGGTACCGGGGATCAAACTCAAGTCCTTGCGCTTGCAAGGCAGGCCACCGAATCGCTGAGCTAAATCCCCGGCCCTGAAAACTTTTTATTACCCTATCAAAGATAGTAAAACTGGCTTTTTTTGTTTTGTTGTTTCAACTCTGGTGCCATTTTCTTGATTTTGTGCTAAGGCATCAGAAGTTTTACCCACCAGTTCAAAAGCACTGTTGCTAAAAAACATCTACTTCTGGGCTGGGGATTTAGCTCAGCGGTTCAGTGGCCTGCCTTGCAAGCACAAGGACCTGAGTTCAATCCTCGGTACTCAAAAAAACAAAAACAAAAAAAAATCTACTTCTTAGTTTACCTTAAAATCAATTTTACCCTCACAGACCCCTAGGGTCTGCAGACAAGCTCTGAACCACCAAACAAAGATGTGTTCTTGTCTGCAGTGTCCTGTCTACAACCTTAAATATTCACAACACCCAGGCTGGGTATTTAGCTCAGTGGTTCCAGCACCTGCCTCACAAATGCAAGGACCCAAGTCCGATCCAAAAAAAAAAAGTACCAAAAAAAAAAGATATTCACAACATCCAAGTCCAGGAAATTCCCACTCATCTTTCCAAGCCAGTTTAGTGTCACTTTTCTGCAACTCTCCCTAACAGCCCACCTCCAGTAAGCACTACTCTCCTGCCTTCAACACTGACTCCCCCAACACCTACCATCTTTACCATCTCTTGCACATATGCATTTGTAGCATGGACCTAAGGCCATTTTGGCCCCTATGCCAAGCCCCACAGTAGAAACTTCTAAAGGAAGTAACCACATCCTACCTTACCTAGAATTCAGAAAAGCATCTTTTGAGTTTCTTCCTTAGAAAATACCAAAGAAAACAAAGTTCTACAAAGCCTCCACCATTAGGGGATGCACTGATTGGCAGACTGATCAACTTGCTAAACTCATGTTTTCCAACTATAATGGACAAACAGATTTTTATCACAAAAAGTCAATTCAAACTCTCAAGAAAATGTTTCTAAATTGAGACACTGCCATTAACTCACTGAAAATGTGTCTGGGTATTTTTGTTCATTGACAATTATGTTGCCCAGGCTGATTTGGAATTTGAGATCCTCTTGCCTCAAGCCTACCAAGTAGTTGGAATTACAGTTGTGCACCAAGGGCTGGCTCTGAATAGGTATTTTTGATACTCCTGCACACCCTGTGATCCCAGCACTCAGGAGACTGAGGCAGGAGGACCACAAGTTTGAGGACAACTTGGGCTACATAGCAAATTCAAGGCCAGCCTGGACTACCTAGACAGACTGTCTCAAAAAACCAAAAAGAAAAAAAAAATGACAACTTAGAAAACTAAACAAGAATTGATTCAAACTTAATCAATTAACTATGGCACTACCCAAAGAACTTTCAGAGATTTTTTGAAAAATAATTATAAGAAATATAATCATAGCCAGTTGTAATTGTACACATCTGTTAATCCCAGCCTTTGGAAGGCTGAGGGAAGAGGATCATGTGATTTCAAGGCCGGCCTGGTCTACACAGTGAGTTCAAGACCAGCCTGAACTACATAGACTGCCTCAAAAAAAACAAAACAAAAATAAAGGGCCATGGATTTAGTTCAGTATGCCATGCCTGTCTAGCAAGCCCAAGGTCCTGAGTTCAATCCCTCGTACCAGAAAAAAAAAAAAAATTGTAAAAAGAAATATAATCCTATTTTTCAGGAAATCAGTATTACAACCTCTTCAGTCTGGTCAATTCTGTATTACAGATTTTTCTGAACCACCCTTTTTAAGGTATAATTTCCAACGAATTAGACACCCACTTTTGGTCCTTATAGTAAGTAGTGCTTTTTCACACACAAACTCTGAGCACTATTGCCATGCTCCTGAGAACCTGTCAAAAATTAAGCCATATCTAGTTCTTTGGCCAAGAGCAAGGAGGCAGAACCACAAAAAAGGGTCCAAGGAGGCTTTTGAGTACAGTTCATCCTAATAAAACTGTAAGGCAAAAAAGCATTTGACTGTAAAATGGAACGGAATGAAACAGAAAGACAAAATTACCGGTCATTCCAATCATCCCCTCGCCTTCTTTCATCTCTTTCTCGAGAACGGTCATAGTCGCTGCGCTCTCTTCTAAACTTGTCCCTGCGCCGTCGATCGTACTCGTCATCGCTGTCACCCATGGCGCGGTCCGAGGAGGCCTGATAGCCGGGGAGGGGTGGGCAGGCTGTTGGACAAGGACGAGGTGAGAGACGGTCCCGCAGAGACAGCACGCCCGCCTCCCTCCCACCAAGGCGAGCCTTCTGCAGCCCCAGCCATCTCAAGCAGAGCTTCGACACTTTCACTCGTCCCAAAGATCTCCCCTGCCTCGACCGAGACCCTGGGCAAGGGTCCTGTCCCTGAAGCCCTGCCCACCTCCCATTGCCCCTCCCCCACCTGCAAGAGGCCGCAGCCGTTAGTCGCGAGCGCGGGCGGGCTTGCTTTCCGGGCGACCCGGACGCGCGAGAGGAAGACGCGGGGCTCTCAGCTAAGGGACCAAAGCGGGGGAAGAGGATGGGACAACCGAGAATGAAGGGTCGCGCGCCACTCACGCGCGCCCCTAACACTAGCCAAACAGGGGCCCTAATCACAAACGATGCCCCGCACGTCGCGAGCTGGAAATAAAGCAAAGAAGACAGGGCGGAATGAACAAGGGGATGATGGGAAGGGGCGGAGACACAACTATCGCGCGCTTTACAGAACGAGAACTGTGCGAGGAAGAGAAACTACGGAAGCCTGGCTGAACCATCCGGAACCTCTGGAGCCCGGCGGCCCTTCGGGGCACCAAGGGAGCGCGTACCCGGGCTCGGATAGTGGGCTAGCGCACCTCCAAATGCTTCCCGGGCCTGAGCTACTTCTCATCCAGAGGTTTTCCTCCGTGGACCCTATGCTCAGGGCTCCGTCTGACCTCTCGGAAATGGTTTTGCCCTCTCCGCTTGCAGAGCATGGGCTTGGGGAGCGCCAGCGTTTGGGAAATAGAAGATAGAAGCAACCATTTTAAAGCATCTGCTCCCACCATTTTCTGCTCCCACCAGAGAACTAGGCTCTATTGGTGTCTCTGTATGCGTACCGTTTGTTCCTGCTCTTTTTGGACAGACGCACCGTGTCTTCATGCACGCCGTGCAAATCTGTCTTAACCCCAGTATTTTGGTGGCACTCGCTGTAGGTTACAGTCCTGAGCAGCATGGGGAGCTGGCCTGCCCCAGTTTAATGCACCACCACTCCTGGGAATGAGGATAACACCAAGTCTCTTTACAAAGAATTAAATCTTGAGGCTTGATGGGAAATGCTGCCTCCCTGGAGCATGATGCAGCCTTTTCCGGGCACTGGTTAAGGGTTGTCTTTACAACAAATTAGTATATAAAAAAGTATTACAGGCTGGGCATGGTGGTGCACGCCTGTAATCCCAGCCCTGGGGAAGCTGAGGCAGGAGGATCGCTGTGAGTTTGAGACCACCCTGGGGTACACAGTGAGTTCCAGAGCAGTCTGAACTACATAGTGAGACCCTGTCTCAACTACCCCCCCAAAAAGTATTACAAAATCTGGGTGTAGCTCAGAGGTAGAACTTGAGCTTCCCTAGCATGTATCAGACCCTCTATTTAATCCCCAGCACAAAAACACCACCAAAAAAAAAAAAAAAAAAAAAAAAAAAAAAAAAAAAAAACCAGCTAAGAATACCCAGATTCTGATCTGTCCAACATTTGAGAACCATGGAATTTGGGAAGTCCCATCTCAGCTCTGGCATTCTCAAGTGTAAAATAAGTAGGGACAACAATCATGCTTGTAATTGGACTTCTGGGAGACCAGGTGAGACAGTAGACTTGACAGTGTTTTGTAAACTCTTGAGGGATTATTATTTCATGATTGGAGACAAGAAACAGCATTTGGTGAGAAAGTTGTAAAGGCAGATATCAGGGAAGGTGATGGATGGGGACTGAGATTACAGCAGGTGCTTCTAAGAAGACTCAGCAGTCGGTGGTGACAGTGGCTGAGAGCTCCTGGATGCGCCAGGCACTGCAGGCTTTGCACAAGATGTGTCCATCCAGTGGGTAGCAGCCCTGACACTCGCCCTCCGAGGACAGCAACAGCCCACATTCCTGTTGGCAGGCACAACAGCTTTCCATCAGCCCAGTCCCCCAAGTCTCTTTCCCTTGCTGCCCCCCACCCAGAGCCCTTTGCTGTTTCCCAGGCCCCTTTACCTCACACTTGTAACAGCCAATGTGAAAACTGCGATCCAGAGCAACAATTCTCACAGTCTCCTCCTGACCTGGCTCAGGCATGATGGCCCCACCACACACTGAGCACCGTGGGGCAAACTTCCTGTGGTGGAAGAGAACCAAGGAGGCTGTCAGGACCTAGGCTTACAACCAGAGAAATGGGATGCAGGAGACCACAGGAGGTACCAAAGTATGCTCCTGGTTCTTGGGGAAAAGAGTAGTAACAAAAAGAAGAGAGGGCCAGGGATTTAAACACGGGAAGGGCTAGAGGATAGAGAGGTCAGGCGTTCTGAAGCAGCCAGGCCCCCAGCCTGACCTGTGGAAGTCCTCAATGCAGTGGATCTGGCTGGTAGCATCCACAGTGAAGGGGATACCATCCAGGCCGCGGTGGCATACCACGCAGGTGAAGCAACCAGGGTGGTAGGCCTTCCCCATAGCCCGCAGTATCCGGTCCAGGATGGGTTGGGAGCACGTGGAGCATTTCTCCAGGGTGGCCTGTTAGGCAAGAGGGCACAAAGGTTAGAGGAAGCCACACCAGCCATCCATGTGTAGCTTCTGCATATGATTCAGTAAAAAGCAGACTTGGCACTGCAGCTTCCTAGACAATGAATTTCACCTTTCTGAGCATCCACATCCTATAAAATGAATCAGTAGAGTAATCTTTGCCTCATGGGGTTATTGTGGGAATGTCACACATTCCCTTAACTCTTAGAAAGCCATCCACTTAGACTGTTATTCTTCACCTACAACAGCCAGTACTTGGCCACTTAATTTCTCCCTATTTTGCACATCAGTTTAAGTCCCCAGCTTCAAGTTGCATCCCCCTTTTGGGCTTGAATAACAAGTCCCCCATGGGAGCCCTCTGTGTCCTGCTGGTGACTCCAGCTTCCCAGCCCCAGCTACTCACCACGTAGCAGCTCTCACAATAGGCCCTCCTCTCCACAGCGTAGAAATGCTGGCCCCGGAGCTGGGCCCGGCATGTGGAACACACGAAGCAGCCAACATGGAAGACACGGTCAAGGGCCACAACTCCAGACCCATCCCCTACCACATCTTCTCCACAGCCACCACATCGGCCTGGGGACAGGAGATGGATAGGATCAATCTATACAGACCTAGGGCACCCAATCTGCTTCCCCTCCCCATTCTCATCCAACCCACTGAATCAGCTCACCAAAGTACTCCCCAGTGGGCAGGTGGTTCATGTCGTGTACCAACTTCTTAGTCAGTCTCTCCAGTTCTTCCTCTGGAGGCTGGCTCAGGGGAACCTGCAGGTCGGAATCATGGTAGTTTGGTGTTACTTCTCTCTAGCTCCAAATGCTATAAAAATCCTTGAAAGTACCAGGCAACCACCCAGAAAGCTCATCTAAGAACATCTCTGTCCAAGAGCCAGTAGGCAGCTCTAGCCCCTCCCCTCTGGACATCCTAACCCTTGACTCTAACTCTGCTTCACACCAGGAGCTTAAATAACCCCTCCAGCAGCCACCCCACCTGATCAGTGTCCACTTGTCGGAAGACCCCAAACCCCAATGCCCCAGGCTTACCTGGGGTCCATGCCCACCTCCTCTTCCTCCTCCTGCAGGGACAGGAACCCTTGCTGCCTCTTCTTTACCCCCTGGCCCTGGCTCACGGGGGCTCCGATAGCCAGCTCCCCAGACTTCTCCTTGGCCTGGGAGAGGAAAGTGGGGGCCTGGGAGAGGCCCTGAGGCTTGAGAGGCCCCCCGCCTGGGTGGCCCACAGCTTCGCACTGGCTGGGCCACCTTTACTTGCACAGGAAAGGCAGGGCCAGCTGGGGTGCTGGCAGTAGCATAGGAGGCTGGAGTGGGGCCTCCATAGGGGGATGCTGGGAGCAACAGGGGTGGAACACCCCCTCCTCCGTTGGGCTTCAGGGAGCCTGGGCAATAGGCAGGTATCTGAGGGGGCTCATAAGCCTGAGAAGAGAAGCACAGAGACAGTGAGCAGGGCCCACTCCACCTCCCACATGTGTGCAAGTCCATGCCACGTGCAGGCCCCAGGGAAGCACCGGATTTTGGCAAGGTCCAACCCTCCAGCAAGCTTCTGTTCCCTAATGCTGGTGTGGTCACCCCTCACAGAGAAAGCAAGTGGAGATGGAGGGTGGGTTGGGACGGAGAATACAGAGAGGAAGAGGGTAAGAAGGACAGGACAGGCGGTCACCTGTCGGTCTGGTCGCTGTGGAGCATGACCACGACCCCCATCCAGCTCAGCCAGCATGCTGGTCAGCGAATCTATCTCAGCATCCAGACTTGCTGGGCGCAGGCACCCCTGGTCTGGAGGGAGCCCCTGGGGATGGAGCGGAATCAGGAAGCAAACAGATCACGATGTCTCCTCTCCTCTCTAGCCCTGGGTCCTGCACACCTTTGGCTCTAGGGTGCCCCACATCCCATCCCAAATCGCAATTCTCACCTGTGAACACTGGGGTGGTCCATGGGACCCCACCCAGGCTGGCCCCCGATCCTCTGGTCCCCCTGGGGGTTGGTAACACTGCTCAGATGGAAGGGGACAAAAATTGACCCTAGGATGGGGCTGGAGTGCTGAGGAGAGAATAAAGACCAAAGGTGTAGATGGAGAAGAGGGGGTGCCCTCCTAGAGCCGCCCTCTGTCCCACTCCCCTCCAGTGCACCTGGGAACCAGGGAGTGGGACACCAGGGCTGTAGGCACTACTGCCGTGATCCCAGCCAGCCTGGGTAAGGGGCAGCAGGAAGCAGGCCGGCAGGGGCAGGAGACAGAGGACAGAGGTGAGCGCGGAGACTGCTGGTTCCTTCGCCAATGAGGTGGGGGGGCTACCTTACCTGCTCCGTGGGCTGGTGGTGGCCCTGGGACACCTCGGGAGAGTAGTCTCCCCTGAGGGGCTCTGGCGGGCTCCGGCTGCTTCGGGGGGAGCCAGGTGGGACCCGACATGGCCTGGAACGGGAGGACTCCAGACAGCAGTCAGGGCCCTATCGAGTCCCGGCCTCTGGCCTTGACTCCCTCCCCCACTTCGGCTCCAGATCTCGTTTGGGACTCCAGGAAAGAAACTTTTTCTAGTTTTTTTTCCCTTCCTCCCCAATTTTGGGGACAGCCACGCCCCCGGTGACGTCACCGCATTCCTGGGGGAGGGTCACGTGGCCCCCTAGGCCCTAATCTACAGTCCCTCCCTGAGTCTGCCCCCTCCTGTAGGGAGGTTGAGGGGGGATACATCTGGGAGGGAGGAGCTGTGGGCTGGTCGGGGTTGGAGGCACAGTCCCCAGTAGTCTCCAGGTCCCAGGATTCCCCCAGGCCTGGCGCCCCAATCCTGCACGTGGCAGCCTCCCTGCCAGAGGCTCCTGGTCCCCACCCCCGTGCAGGCCTCTCCCTGCCACCCGCCTCCCTCTCACCTAGCAGCCAGCAGTAGTCGAGCCAGATTGTAGTGTTTTCCTGTTTTATTCACAGTCAGCAGAATTAGAAAAATAAAACAAAACCATCACCCCCCAAGGGAGGGGCCTGTGCATCTGTGGCAAAGATGGGGGCACTGAGGTAGCCTAGAGTCGTAGAGGAGACCAGCCCCTCCCGTCAAGGCACCAGTGAAGTGAGGCCGACAGGGGAAAGGGCTTCCAATACCGTCTTCTGCAGGCAGTGGGGACAGTTGCCCAGCATGAGTGCCCTGAGCCCTTCCCCCACAAGACCCCTTAAAGGTCAATGCCCCTGCCCAGGGTCCCCTTACAATGTCCTCCTGGCTCCACATGGCAAGGACAGGACCAAGAGGGAGTGGATGGTTCATTAATCAGAATGAGTCTGGGCCCTCCCTAGCCATTCAAGGAAGAATGAAACTCAGAGGTCAGTGCAGGTGACAGGGGTGATACCATGAATGAGCAGCGTGGGGCCCAGGTCCCGGCTCAGAGTCTCCAGCAGTGCCAGGTAGCGGGGATAGCGGGCAGGATCGGCAGGCGGCCGGGGCAGGTAGAGGAAGGTGAGGGCCGTGGTGGGTCCCTCATCTCCATCTCTAGCCTCAGGGCCCCCAGGTCCTCCCCCGGTGCCTCGTCCCTGCTGTGCCCGCACGAGGGCATTGGCACTGCAGGCCAGAGCCCCTGCCTCGGCATCACCAAGCCCTCCGTTCACAAAGTCCCCTTCCTCCTCCTCCGGCTCCCCAGCCCCAGCACCCTCACCCCACACCACCTCCTGCACCTCAGCCCGGATCCTCAGTTGGCTCAACAGTGCCCGAAGCCGCCCCTCAGCAGCCCCAGGTGCCTCTTGAGGCCCCAAGCACAGGAAGATCCGTAGCCGGGCACTGTGCCAGGCAGGCACCATGCCTAGGATGGTTGCCATCTGTAGCAGGAAGAGACCACAGACATCCACATAGCCGGGCCCACCCCGGGGCCTCAGCAGGTTGAGGGGCCACACATCCACGTGATGCAATTGCGAGGTGCTTCCAGACCCCCGGCTCAGCCTCTCTGGGGGCAGAGCCCCACAGGCCCGGGCCAGAACCACATTCTTGTTCATCTTGAGGGCATCTGCCATGGTGGCCACGTAGTCCTGGGGACTAAGTGCCCGGGGGCTTCCAGGAGCTCTGGGTGGGGGGAACAGGGTGCTCAGAGCTGGGGATCTGCCCTCCTGAGTGCCATCCACAGGCTCCATGAAAGCTGGGTCTGTCAGGAAATGGTCCTGCGGTGGGGCGTCATCGTAGAAACCCAGGACCAATGTGTTGGGCTTCATACCACCTGGGGGCAGAGAGAGGATTCAGGCTGCATTTACACCACTCACCCTCACTGGGTCTATGTCAGCCCCAAGGAATGACATCCCCACTGTGCTGGGGGGAGCTTATGGTGTCATCACATGTTTGCATGACTTTGTTTTCTTAAACACTTTCACATGCGTTTATTTGACTATCTCCATGATGCATCTCCTTCACTTAAATAGGCAAAATTCACATTATGATTCTTTTAACTAATGAGCAATTGCAATCCTTGGAGAGTGGGTTGCTATCTACCACAAACTTTAAATAGCAATTTTTTTGTTTTGTTTGCAACAGTGGGGATTAAACCCAGAGCCTTCCCACTGAGTTACTTTTGCTGCTTTTTATTTTTCCCTCACCAAGTCGTCACATTGCCCAGGCTGGGTTCAACTTGAGCTCCCCTTGCCTCGGCCTCCCAGACTGCTGAGAATACAGGTGTGCACCATTGTGCCAAGTTAGCACAACTATTCCATAATGGAAAATGTGGCTTTAACTCTGACAGGCAAACCAGAGGCTGTGAACAAACTCCCAAGTTCAACCATGAGGGAAATGGCAACACAGACCCCGCTGGGGGAGGCTGAGAAAACAGTCTGTTTCTACTACGGCAGAGCCCTGAGGATGGTATCCACAGTCAGGTCCCTGAGATGCAACATTGAAGATCCCCATGCTTGCCAAGGGCCACATCCTGTAGACAACACTTTGTATTTTACCTCTTATGAACTGTGAAGCAATGCTATGAGATAAATGTTATTTATTTTCTTCTTTTACAGATAAGCAGCCTGAGGCCCCACGCAGTGAAGTCACTGGCCCAAAGCCTCCTGACTGGCAGGTCCTAGCAGAGAGCACATCCCGCCCACCCAAAGAGGACATTCTCTTGGCTACTAAGCTGGGAATGGACCAACTTCAACATCCCAAGTCCCTGACCACAACATCTGATTTTTAATTTTTTTTTTTTTTGTACTGGTGATCAAACTCAGGACCTTGTGCTTGCACTTGCAAGGCAGGTGGTGGAACCACTGAGCTAAATCCCTGGCCCAGATTTTTTATTTTTGAACTACCAGTGTGAACCAGATGTGGTAGCACACACATGTAATCTCAGCACTCTCAAAAGCTGAGGCAGGAGGACTGCAAATTCAAGCTTAGCCTGGGCAATTCAGCAAGATCCTGTCTCAAAAATTTTAGGCCCTGGGTTCAATCCCCAGTAGGAAGAGAAGAAGAAAAAGAAAAGCATCGACAACATGGGATCAGGTAATTCCTCCTTCCTTTCGAAGAGATTGAGTTTACAGTGAAACTCAGAGACCTCTTTTTTTTTTGGCACCAGGGATTGAACTCAGAACCTTGGGCTCTCAAGGCAGGTGGTGGCACCACTGAGCTAAATCCCCAGCCCGAGGAGACCTTTTAAGAAACATGAAACTGGAAAAAAAGAATTATGAAACTGGGCTGGGGAATTAGCTCAGTGGTGCCACCACTAGCCTTGCAAGCACAAGGTCCCGAGTTCAATCCCTGGTACCAAAAAAAAAAAAAAAAAAAAAGAATCATGAAACTGAGGTTCAAAATTTAAGCACAGTTCAACCCCAGGAATTTACTAGGCAGAAAAAATTCTTTCTCTTTTGCTATAATCACCTTCCATAGGATACATTTCCTCAACACAGTGATCTTTGTGCACAAAGGGGAGGAGGGCTGAAAAGGCCAGGTCCTCAAACACTCCAGGGGCTGACGGGACTCAATAATGCCAATCAAGCTCCCAGCAGGCCAGATTCAACAAGCCCACCTGCTCCAAACATTTTGCAGGATTCAGATTCACACTGAGCAGGGCAATGTCCAATTCGGTTGAACTTTAGCCAACAGGAGGAGGGGGTGAGCAGATACTGTCCTGGGGCTAAACAAGGAGGAAGAAGCTGTGAGTGGACACGGTGGAGCCTGGGGCCAAGGCTGGAGGCTCCAGTGCTGAGAGTCACAAACCTTGAAATGTCCCCCTCCATTCAAAAGTGTCAGCTCCACAAGAGCCAGTAGCGCATTCCTGTAATCCCAGTTCTCTAGAAGACCGAGGCAGGAGGATCCCAAGTTCAAGCCCAGGCTGGGCTTCTTAGTGACTTAGTAAGATCCCTTTCGCAAAACTAAAAAATAATAAAAGGGCTAAACTATACCTCAGTGCAAAAACCCTGAGTTCAATCCTCAGTATCACAAAAAGAAAAACAAAAAAGTGTCAGCCCCATATACCCTCCAGCACCCTTTGTGGTGTCAGCGACCACGTTAGGTCCCTCCTATAGCTGAAGCCTTCTCAGACCTGGCTGAGTTACCATCTCTTCACAAAACCTTTTGCTGGCCACATCAGTGCCTAGCTTTTTCTAAACTGGTGGTGAGAAACCATGTGCTTTGATGGGGCAGTCCAAGATGCAAATAATTCTCCCTTTGTCCCTAGAAAGAGACTCTCAAGACAGTTTTTTGGTTCAGGAGGAAAAAAAAAGAAAAGAAAAGAACACAACAACATCATTCCATGTCTAGTCCTCCAGATCTCTATAGACCTTATCACATGCTCTCTGTGGCTGTTATCTTTGAGCTCTGTCTTATCTGTACTATATTCTGCAGTTAGCTATCTGTGGTTTATTCTCTAGGGGAAGGGAGTGGAGATTTAAAGGGGCCAAGGAGTGGGCCAAATGAAGAAGCTCACCTAGGCCCGAGATCCGCAGCAGATGCTGAGCCCCTTGGCGCACAGAAGGCGACAGTGTGAGGTCCACAAAGGCCTTCACTTGGGCCCGGTCCACCAGACTTAGCCACGCCCCATACTGCGGCTGCACAGGGTCTGAGGGCAGCGCGTCTGTAGAGAAGGCAAGGAAAGAAAGCAGCCACTGTGGGCCAAGCTCACTTACTCCTTCCTAGAGTCCAGATCCCACATGGGTCGGAGCAGGGTCATGGCTGGCTAGAGTGTCTTCTCAAAAGAAGAAGGCCTATGTAGATGGAGACCAGGAAGGGTGGAAGCAAGTAGGAGGACAACTCACCAAGGTCTCCCAGGGTGACGTGGCCCAGTACATACAGCCCCCCTTTCTTGAGCTGGTTGGCCAAGCGCAGCAGAGGAAGGGCGCCCCGGGGGTTCCCCACCAGGAGCAGCAGCTGAGGCCGCCAGAACTTCACGTGATCCTTCCGGACATCCAGCCGGAGCAGGTACTTACGTACCTGGGGATGGGAAGGAGGTGGTGGGGAAGGAGGGCTTGTGTGAGTGAGGGACTTTTCCAGACTGCCCCCCGTCTGCCCTTTCCAAAAGCCCCCCAACCTGGTGGAAGAGCAAGGCCTGGCTGACGTAGCCCCAGCTGCTGGGGCCTCCTCGTGCTGTGAGTAGGGCAGAAAGCAGGCCCATGAGGAGCAGGGAGCCCCCAGCGGCTCCGGGGCTGATGAGGAACATCATGAGCAGGCAGGAGGCCACGCCCAGCAGGCAGGTGTGCCAGGAGAACAGGGTGAAGGTGGGGCTGGAGGTGGAGAGGACGCAGGAAGGAAAGTCAGGGTGGCCCTGGCCATCTCACCCCAGCGCACCCTCCTAGGCTCATCTTTCCCTCTCCTTCCTCCTTTGCCCGGGGGACATGGGCACAATAGTGTCTCACCGGAAGTTGGGGGCTGAGGCCCATTCCAGGCTCAGGCAGGACAGATCCACTGCAGCATAAGCCACCAAGTAGAAGACAGTGACCACGGCAGCCAGTGTATTCAGCTTCCCCGCCAAGAGCACCAGCTGGGCAGAGACCAAAAGGTAGGGCATTGGACAGAGTGTACCCCAAAAAGTACCAGTGCATCCCCACAAAATACCAGTACTCATATCCCCAGAAGTCCCAATGAACTCCCAAGAAATGCTAATGCATTCCTGTGAAATGTCAACACTTCAACCTTTCCATACACATCTCCTCACCCACAACGAAGCTTGATGATCATGCTGGAAGCTAGAGGATGAGGGCAAAAGGGAAGGCTTACCTGCACAAGACCCCAAGAATACAAGACAGCACCCCAGGGGTTTCCCCCTCCAGATACAACCTTGGCTGGGGCCAAGATCACTCCTGTAAAAATACAGTCACAGCCATCCCATTAGCCTGGGTCAAACAGAGACCCAGACAGACCCAGGCAGGTGTGCTCAGAACCAGCAGGGAGCTAGAGAATTCACCAAAGAGGTCGTCCTGGGCCAGGGCATGCAGGATGCGAGAGGCACCAATGAGTGAGCTCATGGAAGCCGACAGTGATGTTGCATAGATGCCAATCAACACCAGCGGGGGCCACAGGCTGATGGCACGAAAAAACCCATAGTCTTCCTGCAGCAGGGTCCTAGGGAGGAAAACGGATAGGAAGATATGGGCATCAATCCATTGTCCACGAGCATCCTTCAGAGGTCCTGGTGAGAAAAACACTCAGGACACTGTGTGGTTAAGAGCTGGGTCCTCGCAACTGATCTCAGCCCTAATCTCAAAGATCAGAGAGATCCCACATCTTTTTTCTTTTTTTGGCTATGCCTGGGATTGAACCCAGGGCCTTTACGCTGAGCTACATACCCAGCCCTGTTTGTATTTTTGTTTACATTTTGAAACAGGTTCTTGCAAAGTCACTAAGTTGTCCACGTTGGGTCTAAACTTGCAATTCTCCTGCCTCAGCCCACCAGCGTGTTGGGACGATAGGTGTGCACCACCATGCCCATCTTGTATCTTAAATGTGCCAAGGAATGCTCTTGGTATTCATTGATCATTGTTGGTCTGCCTCAAACTTGATTACCCAGTGGTCATTCCCAATAGTACACACAGAAGCCAGATTCTTGTGCAAATATATATCACCAGAAAGCCAGCCCTAGCCCACCCCGCAAACGGCTCACAACCAATACAAGTCTGTGGCAGCTGATGGCTACAACTTCGCTATCATCACACCCAGAGGAGGCCACAGCACTGTTTCTTTCCCAAAGAGAGAAACTGTCCCCACTGCCCCTCCACCCAAATAATACAGGTACCTGCCCCCCAACCTGTGCTTCACTCAGTAAACAAAGGGCGCCAGCCTGCTGCAGTGCCTCATCCACTCCTCAACCGACTGGCTCAGCCCCTCCCCAGGCACCTGTCACAAGTGAAGCCGGAGAGAAAGAAAAGCAGGATGTAGATGAAGAAAGTGTAGGCGACTGCGATGATTGTGCCCAGAGGAATTGCCCGGCTGGGGTCCTTCAGCTCCCCTGGAGGGAGGGAAGCAGACAGAAGTCAGCCCACTTGCCATTCCACGTCCCTTGGGTAGCAGCCCACCCCAGGAGGTGTCAGGCAGGGATGCTCACCAGACATGTTGGCCCCGGCCATGATGCCTGTGCAACCATTAAAAAGGACGGCAAAGACACTGGCAAAGTTCATCATGGCCCCCGTGGTGTAGTCCTCAGCGTAGCCAGCTAAGGAAGGACAGGATGTCAGCATCCTCATAGGGATGCCTACATTTCTACCCTGCCACCCCATCCTCACATTCCACAATGCCGATCTCCCCTCTGGTGCCCTCACCAAGACCCTAGCCCTCACTGGCCCTGCACTGCCTCCTTTGTCCCCAACCCCATTCTCCTGTTCCTTCCTATGCATGTTTCCACCGCTCCAGCTCCTACCCTGCCTCTGCCCTCCCAGCCCAGTCAGTTCTCCTTCCTCTGCTTGACTCTCTCTCAGCTTTACTGTGCAACTTGTCTCCTGAGCACACCTCTTGTTCCTCCCACCAAACACAAGTTCCTCTACGGCAAGGACTCCCCACTGGCCGGAGTGCACCGCACTCTGCACGGATGTGAACTAGACTGGACTGCCCTGCAGTCTGGACCTCCTGCAGGTTACACTCCAGGGACGCTAAGGGTCCAGCCTGCACTCTTCCCCCCTCCCCTGGACCCTGGCAGCTTGGAGCCCAGCTCACCGCCCAAGTTGTCCTTCAGTGTGCTGACGTTGAAGCCAGTGAAGTGGCCGAACCGGGTTGGCAGAGAGGAGCCATTGGTGCCTGGCCGAGGAGCTAAAGGGATGTCCCTGGGCCCCACAGCCACAAAGCTGATCAACACGGAGGCCAGGGAGCCAGACACCAAAAGGAATGTAAGGAAGGAGGCACGAGCATAGAGGCCGGCTCCCAGTGTGCAGACGCCACCTACGAGGCCCAGGAGCAGGGAGCCGTAGAGCAGGTTCCAGCCGTAACCTTGGGGCAGAACCCGGAGCCCATTGGACCCCATGGCATCTGGAGAGAGGTAGGGTCAGAGTTAAAAGACCTGAGCCCAAGGAGGGGACCCACCTCCTACAATGACAGAAAGAAGGACTAGTCCCCCTCTTCGCCTGCCTACTGGCGGAGCAGCCACCTTTCCCATTTCCCATCTCAGCTTTTGCCCAGCATCTCAGTACTCCCTGGTGGGTATCAATCTTGCTCTGTCAACTCAGGGACTATTAGACTGGTCTCTCTGGGTAGATGGTAAGCTCTCCATGGGCAGGAACAATCACTGGGATGGTCACATCTCTTGCAAACGTAGCAAATATACCTTCCTGGAGAGAACTTGCCCCGTCCAAGTCTACAATCCCGGGCCCCACAATACAACAGAACTTCATGGACCAGGTAGGGAGAACACAGACCAGTCCCAAAGACGTCCAGCACAGACTCCACTAGCCCCAGCAGGGAGACGGCACAGCCGCAGACGTTAGCCAGGTAGAACATAAGGCCGATGCTGCCTCCAACCTCAGGCCCCAGGGTCCGGCTGATCATGACTAAAAGTGGAATCAGGAGTGAGCATTAAGGGAAAAGAAACTGAAATATAGCATGAGGAAGGGTCGCAGCATGCATCTGTCTCTGTAGCTGCCCAGCCAGGACAGCTCTGTTCCCAGCCACAGCAGGTATCCAGGTGCAGCCACTCCAGCCTTGTAGCTTTGCACAAGTCCCCAACCCACTCTAAACTCCAGTTTCTTCATCCGTAAAATGATAAATATCTAATCAAAAAGATAGGGGACTAGACAATGATATTAACATGTGAGACAGTAATGATCATCTTTTTAATATTTATTTTTATTTCATTTTTGTTTTTGGTTTGTTTGAGACAAGGTCTCACTAGGTAGTTGAGATTGACCTGGAACTCAACTATGTAGCCCAGGCTAGTCTCCAGCTTACAGCGATCCTCCTGCCTCAGCCTCCCAAGTGCTGGGATTACAGGCATGCACCACCACACCCAGCTTGTTTTTGTTTTTGAGACAAGGTCTCACTATACAGTCCAGGCTGGCCTTGAATTCACTATGCAGCCCAGGCTGGCCTCGAACTCACAGCAATTCTCTTGCCTCAGTAACCTGAGTGCTGGGATTATAGGTATGGGCCACCACATCCAGCTATCTTTTAAACTTTTTAAAATGAAGTCTTGCTAAAATGCTAAATTGGCCTGGGCTTAAACTTGTGACCCTACCTGCCTCAACCTCCCAGAGTGCTGGGGTTACAGGTGTGCACCACTATGCTCAGCTATTGTTGGTAAGTATTACCACCCTGGCATGGCCTTCATTAGAATTTTCCCTGCCTGGCAGATAGAGGCCACTGGCCTCTTTCCCACATTCTGGAAAAGGCAACAGCCCAGACCTCAGCCCATCCACGATGGAGGATACAGTAGGCCCCGCCTCCTCGGACAGCTCCATTGGTGGCGATGGCACAGACAGACAGGACAGTGAGGGCCAGGATGATATAAGCAACCAGTAGCATGGCCAAGGCCTGCAGCAGCCCTGCATGGCCCACCACGAACCCTGGGTGGGAGGGGCAAACTAGGTCACAGGGGCAAGCCCAGTCCCCCCTCCCTACTCCCATCTTACTAGGCAGCAGAAATCCAGGACAGAGCCTTACATGGGTCACCGAAACCTCCTCCTCCTGCTCTCTGACCCCCATCTCCTCTAGGGAACCCCCCCAGCACCATCTCAGTACTACCCCTTGGCCCAGTAAGTCCTCCCTCCACTTACCAATCCGCAGAAAGACAACTATACTGAACATAGACAGGACTGTGGGCACCACCACGCCCAGGAAGGTAGACAGCTTGCGGGCAGGCGCCCCTCCAGGACCTCCAGCTCCATTGGCTGGGAAGGCAGCCCCCTCTTCCCCCAGGAGCCGGTAGGCCAGCAAAGGCGAGCTCTCGCTGGCCATGGCTGAACACAGGGTGGGAAGCCACAAACAGGTTAGGTGGCCTGTAAAGGAGATTATGCTGAATGGATAGCAGTTCTTCACACACCAACTCCCCCCCTAAAAAAAAACATCAAAAACAAAAAAACTAACCAAGCCAGGCATGGTATCGCACGCCTGTAATCTAAGCATTCTGGAAGGCTGAGGCAGGAGGGTTGAAAGTTCAAGCCCAACTTGAACTGGGCTACTTAGCAACTTGAGGAGACCTTGTCTCAATATAAAAATAAAAATACAAATGGACTGCAGATGTAGTTTACTGCAAAGGCCCTGGGTTCATCCCCAGTACAAAAACAAACCAAAATACCTAACAAAGAAGCACACACACTCTATGGGAATTCTAAAGGGCCCATGGGCTGCAGATGGGCCCAGCCACCACCCCACAGTCATGGGCCCCCAACCTCTAGGCATGAGTATCGAGGTCTGTCCCAGTTCCTACGGGACTCTCCTTCCCGTGTCCCTGAAACTGGGGATGCACAGCTGGATAGAGATGCCCTATAGCAGCCCAGATTTCTCCAGCCTCTCCCCGCTTAACTAGTGGTACAGGAGGAAGCATAGCCCTTAAAAGGGAAGTAAGTTAGGGCAGGCTACCCTCCTCACCCACTCCTCCGGAGTCCTGACCCGCCCTTCCCAAGTCCCCCCACATAATCACCTTACTCAAAGAAACTTTCAAGTCTTCCAAAGCCTCACACCCCTAAGTGAACCATCTTCTGGCACCCTCTGTCTCACCAGATTCCACCCATCCGTAAGAGGAGCCCCCGCCACCCGCCAAACTCTACCAACATAAACAGGTCCTTCGAATTCCAAAATAGAAACCCAGGCCGGCTCACATCGAACCACACAAGGTCCCCGGGGTCCTCCAACCCACACCCAGCGGCTCCTACCCACTTGCTCCCACAGCAGGGTGCGGGGAGGCCAAGACGTCCCTCTCGCAAGCCAGGCGCACCAAGCAGCTCACTCACAACCCAGAGGGTGCGGCCGCTCGGGGTGATCCCCGCGCACAAGAGAGGACCGCTACGCGAGGGGGCGCGGGGCCGGAAAAGACAGCCGGCTGCCTGGATGCCAGGCCCGGAGCCTGCCCCCCCCGCAAGGCGTCCCATTGGTCCCTGGCGTAGTCCCCGCCCCCTGGGCGAGTCCTAGGAGGAGCCCCGCCCCTCTCTGCCCAGTCGGCGCCGGCCGGCTCCACGTGCACCTTAGGGGCTTCGCAGTTCTCCAGAAGGCCGGTGTCTCGGGCGGGGCGCAGGCCGCAGGCCTCCGACTTTACATCCCCCATTAGCCGGTGCAAACGGGCGCCCACCCCTCGGGCTAGACCCTCTCAACTCTGAGGCGCCCCCGGGAGGAGCTGTGACTTGAAGGGGGCGTGTAGTGACTGCAGACTGCTGCGCAGGATGGGCGTGGCCTACACCTGGCCCAGGTGCGTCTCCAGGATGATCGGGCGCTTCCGGAATCCTAGTTTGGCAGGGTCTCAGAGCCGGACTAGAACGTCCGCTGGGCTGGCTTTGCCCCTCATCCCCAGCGAGGACCCGCCCCTGAGGCTGCGCTCTTGGCTTCGGCCACCGGGGGGAGTCCTGGGCCGCCGATCTGGGGGAGCCACGCAGGTGCAGCCCTGGGTCGTTCTGCTTGGTCCAGTGCCTGCTTCCGTGCCTCCCTCAACGGAGATAACCGACCCTGTGAACCCAGCTGTCAAGTGGGAGCTCCTCCTCACTCTATTATTTATTCATTTGTGTCGGGGTGGATGGGGTGTGTGTTGAGGGTTGAACCAAGGCCCTTTGAACTACATCCCTTTGAACTAAACTACATCCCCGGCCCCCCTCTAGCCACTTCTTTAGAGACAGGGTCTCGTTAAGTTGCCCAGGCTGGGCTGAAAGATGAGATCCTCTTGCTTCAGCCTCCCAAGGTGCTGGGACTTACAGGTCCCATCCATAGCATCTCCTGTCATGTTTCTGCATCTGTAAAATGAGGATAACACTAGAGTCTCCCTCCTAAGTTCTATGAGAATTTATGAGATAATACATACTTTATAACAATGCCTGCATATTTAGTAAATTACTTTTTAATTTAACAGCATTGTGTTAAATATGCAAAACTATGAGGTCGGTTCTGCTACTATTTCAATTTTCAGATTATGACACTAAAACTTGGACAGAATTAATAATACATTCCTTATTTTTATTTTTACTTGAACCCCAAGGCCTAGACACTGAGCTATGCCTCCAGCTCTTTTTTATTTTTATTTTTTATTTTTTGCTATATGAGGGATTAAACTCAGGACCTTGTGCTTGCAAGGCAGGTGCGGTGCTACTGAGCTAAATTCCCAGCCCTGGCTCTTTTTATTTTGAAGTAGGATCTTACCAGATTGCCCATGGTGGACTCAAACTTGAGATCCTCCTGCCTCAGCCTCCCAGAATGCAAGGGATTTCAGGTGTATGTTACCATACCCAGCTATAACTTCTATACAGACCTTTATGGTCACACGATCATTTGAGAGTCAGGAAATGAACGCAGTTTTTCTTGCCACTGATCTGGGTCTGTAAATGCATCTGTGATATTCTTGTAGGAAAGGAAAAAACTCACCCCAGCCCAAATGTGGGTCATCCTGAGAGAGGGTCCTGAGAGCTAAGCTGTGGCATCTTCAGCAGTCATCTTTGCTGCCCATGCACATGTCATGATTTTGATGGTATCGATATACACACTGATGAGACTTCTGTGACTGATCCAAGGGTCATATCCTCCATCCTAAACAATTCTCTAGTGTTTGTGCCCTAGCCTTGTCTTTAACAATGTCTGCACCCCCTCTTCTTTCTTTCTTTTTTCTTTTTTTTTTCTTTTTTTTTTTGGTACCAGGGTTCAAACTCGGGTCCTTGAGCTTACAAAGCAGGCGGCAGAACCACTGAGCTAAATCCTGGGCCCCTCCCCTCTTCTTTCAGTTTACCTCTTCTAGTATGGCTATTAAAAAATAAAAAATAGCTAGATGTGGTGATGTATAATACCAGATCCTCAGGAGGCTAAGGCAGGAAGGTTGCAATTTTAGGCCAGCTTGGACAACTTAGCAAGACTCTGTCTCAAAATAAAAAATAAAAAGAGCTGGAGGTGTATCTCAGTGCGAGTACCACGGGAAGAAAAGAAAGATGGAAGGAAAGAATAAAGGTAGAGAAAAGGAAAGAAAGAAAAAGGAAACAATTTGTCTGAACCTAATTCCATTGGCAAGGATGACTTCCTTGAGGATTACCTCAGTTCTCTTCAGATCTGGTACAACAGGGAAGAGATCCGACTTGACTCGAAAGCAGCAAAGACACCTAAGTGTTTATGCCAACATATGAGCACAACAGGAGGGTTGGTGGACAAAAAATTACCAAGAGCAGAACCTTCTTGCTAAACCAATTTAATAAGATTCTTGCTGCAGACTGCTGGCCCAGAATGATCCATTGTGCAAGGCGAGGGATTCTCTCTAGCCTGAGCTAGACAGGCCTAGGAGGGACAGAGGGCATTGGGGCCTAGTTAAGCAAAGGGATCAGAGAAGACTAAAGTTTGGTCAAGGAGAAAGCATTGTCACACCTGGCCCCAAGAATCCTTTCTCACTGGACCCGCCCAATCCATTGATTTGACCCTCTTTCATCACATCTTCACTTCCCCCTTTATCCAGTGTACATTTCAGGATCAGTTACAACCAGTCTCTCACACAAACCCTTGTCCTCTCTTTGTCACACCTGTCTGGCAAAACCATGGCCCTGGGGGACTGGAGCTGCAGCTCAGTGGTAGAACACTGACCTAGCATGCTCACAGTGCCTCAAAAACAAAAACAAACAGAAACAGAACCCTGACAAACTTAGCCTGTCCCACACAGTTCAATGTGTTTGGAAAAAAATGCCCAAATTTGGCAGCCTGGTCAAATTTCAAGTTCATGACCATTAACCTAGTGAACCCCTAATGCCACCCAGCATTCTGCATTTTTCTTATCCATGCGCTCCTCACACCCACCAGATTCCACCCTCACCCCCCCCCATGTGCCAGTGTGGCCTCTGCCATTCCCATTCTTGGCCCACTCCTTTCCTTCCCATTTCACTGAGAAAACAGAAGCCATCAGAAGAGGCTCAATGAGCTCCTCTCCACCCAGCTGCCTGGCATCAGTGCCCACTGCTCTGCCCTCCCTCCTGTCACAGTCAACCTGCGACTTGTGTACTAGGTCCCAACTCATTGTCTTGATCTTTCCTGTTTGTTTTGTTTTGTTTTGTTTTTTGAGACACTCTTACAGTGATTCTCCTGCCTCAGCCTCCTAAGTGCTGGGATTACAGGGATACACCACCAGGCTCTGCTTGCTTTTTCTTTCATTGGCCATTCCCGTTGGTTATACAGCTATATTTTATTTCTCTTATAGAGAAATTATTCCACTCACCTAGCTAGCACTCCATTTCTTTGTTCTTTATAACAGTACTCCTTTTATGAATTGTCTAAACTAGCTGTTTCTCTTTCCTTCATTCATTCTTTTTTTCCCCCCAGTACTGGAATTGAACCAAGACTTTCACACTGAGCTAAAACCTAGCCCTTTTAAAATTTGAGACAGGGTCTTGCTAAATTCATAAATTGTCTAATCTGGGCTGGCTGCAACTTGTGATCCTCCTGCCTCGGCCTCTCCGGTGCTGGGATGACAGGTGTGCTCCACCACACCCAGAACCTGATTTCTTCTTAAAACCTTACGCTCAGGCTTTTGTTCCTCAGCAAAAGGGAAACCGCCCACTGAGTCACAAATGACTTCTGCTTGGCTGGTGTTAAATGGTCTCTGTTCTTGTCCTCATTTTACCAAACTGACACATCTTCTCATTTCCTTGTCCTTAAAACACTTTCTTCTTCCACACTCAGGATTTTCTTCCTGCTCAGTCTCTTCTGCTGCTTCTTCCTTGTCTCTCATTTTAACGTTGGGACACCCATAGGTGGTGTTGGATACACAGCTAAGAGGCCACTATGGAATGGAAACTCGACTGAGGGCTGGAGGCATAGTCAGATTTCTTTTCACCACTTACATCCACTGCCTTAGTGAGCTCATCCAATGTCATAGTTTTAAATATCATTGGTATAACAGTGCCCCAGCACGTAGCTGCAGCCCAGATCTCCACTGTAAATTTCAGACCTTATGCCCAGCAACCTATAAACATCCCCATTTGGTCATCAAATGGGCAGCTCCTTCACACCCCACATCTAACCCACTGGCAAGCCTTTTCTGTGATGGTTAAGCTTCACTGTTGATTTGATTGGACTGTGAGATGCAGAAGGGATTAGTAAAGCACATTTCTGGGTGTCAGGATGGGCCACCTAGTCATGAGCTCGGGGTCAATATCTGGTCCCTGGGCCCTTTCTCTCTCACACTTTCCCTGCTCTGTTTCCCGGCTGCCATGAACTAAGCAGCCTTGCTTTACTATGCCCTTTTTTCATGATGTTCCTGCCTTGAAGCTAGCTGACCATGGACTGAATCCCCTGAAACCATGAGCCAAATAAACCTCTCCTCTTTTATGGTGCAGGTAGCAAATATTGTGTTCCAGCAACAGGAATGTTCACTAATACATTTTGCCTGTACTTTCAAGATACAACCAGTATCCAACAACATCTCACTACCCTGATCCAAGCTACCAGCATCTCTTCCCTGTTCCATGACAGCAGCCCCTCCTTGACTCTCCTGCTTCTGTCCTTGATCCTACTGCTAATGAGGAGCTAATGGTGCCATCAAAGTAAATATCAACTCATGCTGCTTCTCTTTCCAAAACCCTCCAGTACATCCCATCTTCCTCAGAGTTGTTAAAAGCCAGCACCCTATCAGGAGAGTGGCCCGATTGACCACCTATAGTCCTGGATCATGCCTAGTCACGGCATACTAAGTGTCTCCTTTTGTTCAGAAGTGGCCCAGAGTGCTCTCTATGTTATCTGGTGACCCTCTTATACAGTGTACCCCATCCTCAACATCTCTGACTCCTCCACGCTTGTGCATGCCCCACCATGGCCTCTGGGCTGTGCTTTGGACAACTCAAAAAAGTCTTTTTGAATAGGGCACAGTAGCAATCATTCTTGGAATGTTGAGGCAGAAAA